AGTCTCTGCTGCTCCTCTTTGGCTCTCTGGCCCTGAACGTTCAGAGCTTTAATCTCCCCCAGCTTGGCCTCCATATCCACCTGCAGCTGTTTCACCTCCTTATCCAGCTTTTCCTTCAGCCTCATCTCCCGGGAAATCTCATTCTGCTGTACCTGGAGCTCCTGCTGAAGCTGGATTAAACACAAACAACAAGTTACAGCTATATTAAAGTTATTTAATTTGTAAGTACCCCTGTGTTTTGCTCTTACAGTACATAAGGTCATCTACAGACTCATTGATGTAAAATGTCAAATTTAGCAGATAATCTCATTTCTCATTAACGTCTCTTCTTCTATGCAAAATCTGTTTACTCTTTAATAAGATCATTTACACCTTTGGTTGTCTCTTCATTGGTCTCTATTAAATCTAACATGAAGTACATTAGAGGTCTGCCGTAGAGAGCAGTTTGCATCTTACTTACCTGAGAGATATTCTCTGAGGCTTGTTCTCGTCGCGCCTCCATCTCCTGCTCCACTGTGATGGCTTTGTTTAGTTTTCCTCTCAGAGCCTCCACAGTTGTCCGAAGTTCATCCCTCTCCACAATCAACACCTCGTTTATCTTTAGAAGATCACTGGAAAACACACATTACAGTTGGCTCCATGCATTTGACCTACAGTATGTCAACAGTAATCAGTTTAGACCGGGGAAATGGCTCACCTCTGCTCTTGGTCCAGAGAGATGTTAGTTTGTTGTTCAGCCGTTTGCATTAGGTTGGAAACTTCTTCTTTTAAAGTCCTGATGGTCTCTTTGTCCTTACTCTCTTTAGCATGAGCAGCATCGACCATTTTCCAAGCTTTGTCCAGCTCCTTCAGTGTAAGAAGGACAACTGATGATTAAATGATTGATTTAATTTGAGGAGAACAGAGGTAACAAATGATAAAAGTTCACCCACATGATAAAAACAATAACAACGTCTATATACAGGCAGTTCCATGGGGGGGCAACGGTGGCCAGTGCCCCTGTAACAATGAGCTTCGACCCCCCCTGTGGCCCTGCTCCAAATAAGAGTTTATAATGATAAGTCCATTTTAGGTAGTGTTTTGCTGTAACTAGCAGAAGTGAACTGGAATTCATTTTGGTTTACATAATGCCATTTAATAAAATGGTAACTACTGAAACTAATTCTGTTTTTGAAAAAGATATGTAATGTTTTTTTGATGCGTTACGACTCTATACAAAACTAAAAATGTTAAAATGTTGAACACTGTCTTTGTCTCCCCCCCTGTAGCATCTGATGCTCTGGCAGCCCTTTACCCTCTTCAGGGAGGTGATGGTGGTCTCATCGTCCTGGGACAGTTTCAGAGCGGCTGCCACTTTAGTGGATGTGGACACAACTTCTGCATTCAGCTCCCTGCATTTGGACATCAGCCTCTTCTCATTCTCACGGGACTTCTTCAGAGCATGGATGAGCTTCTCGTACTCCCCCCGGACCTTGTCCATGCTCTCGTCGCCCACCAGCTCACTGAGGACTATGTGGAACTCCTCCAAGGACTCAAACATGTCCTCTGCTGCTCCTGACTCCTGGAAATGCAGAAAAGCCACAGACAGGGAGTTTAACAAGCTAGAACGTAACTAACAGTAATTGAGTAAATGTAACTAAGTACATCAAGTAATGTACTTTTTGTTTAACTATTTCTACTCTACTTATATAGTATTTCTTCTCAACTGCATTTAAAAGGGAAATAATTAATTTTATTCTACTTATTTCACAGCTTTAGTCAGATTGAGATTTAGCATTAAAAACAATGTGATACACTTTTAACACATTGCATCTCTCAAGATTAAACTATTGTAATAACTGTTTAGGTACAACAAATGTAATGATCCATTATTACAAAACCATTAGGAAAGAAAGACCTTAACATGAATAATGTGAATCAGAACAGAAACATTCAATGTAGAATGCAGAGTACTTTCAGTTTACGTTTGATACTTTAATGTAAGACTTGTAATAGAGTGAGAGAGTATTTTGACATGAATATATTGGTACTTTTACTTAAGTAGAGAAATCTGATACATCTTCCAGGGCTAAAGTTACTTTATCTTAAATAGTGCTGCTAATACAGTTTGTATTTTTATTTGACCGTGTAACTAAGAAGCAGAATGTAATACAGACAGCATTAGTGCAATTAATGTTAGCAACCATGCTAAGTTCACTTTCCAAGCCGTGTATGACGTCAGGTTAGGCTAACTTTCTACTCTTAACCTTGTGCTAAATGTATTTTTGCGTCAATATTAAGTTGTCCTCTAAACATTCGTAAATGCAACCCTGTAGAAGAGTTCTTACCTCCATTACATCAAATGAAAAGTCAAAAATATATGTGAATCCATACAGAGTGGCGTTATCACGAGAAGTGTTGACGGTTGCTAAGCGACCGTAGGTCTCGCGACAGGAGGAGCCGCTGGTCTGCGGGACTTTGTGACACCACAACATGCACTGCGCGAGCGGTGGGCTTTAACGGAATGGAACTCAGTTTCAAAAAAGTATTTCTACCGAGGACACGCCACGGAGAAAGAGTGACACAAGACCCACTTACACTAGTAAGTAATAGGTTAAAGTTCACAAAATGTTACCGTAATAAAAGAAATATCTGCCAAAGTTCTAACTAAATACAAATAGCCTACATTAGAAACATATCAGTTCATTTTATGCGCGTTCAACACAATTTCAGTTTGTTTGTCTGGTTTTGATTAATCGACTATCCTGTCAATTAATTGCCTCCCTCAAGGCTCGTGCGATCAGCTCATTCTCTCATTAGCCCACATAATATCAGTGGTCTAAGGTTAGATATTGTAGCTAACATATTAGCCACACTACTCAAATTAACTTATCCTTTAAAAACATCATTAATAAGGAGGCAATACAAACTAACTGTAAATATAAAAAAATATATTTGAAATAACACAGTTGTTTTTATTTTTCTTCGTTCTACTTTTCTATGTAGCATGTGTACCACTGTTGTTAAAGGGTTTGTATCTAAACAATGTATGATGTTTTGTTCATTACTGAATACTCGAGACAGGGTTTCCGTTCTCTCGGCCATAACAGCAGGGGTATACACTGCTATAAATAAGTGTTTAGCCCTATTTTCAATATTTCCAAATTTCTTCAGAATCTGCATCTAACTTGTTGGTAAAGGTAAGTGACTCTTTAACTTTTTCCGATTCATTTAGCAAGTGTTAAGTGTGTTTCAAACTGTTCCAATTTAAAATCTGATTTTATCACGCTGCAGCATGCGCTTATTGATTCTAAACTGCTATTGAACAGTAAGAAAACCAAAGCAATGCTTTGTGCTCCCAAGTCAGCGTCCTCTTGCCTCTCCATTAACACCCTTGATGGCGTCTCTGTTGAGTTTGTCGATACATACAAATATCTGGGCTTTTGGTTGGACAGAAATCTAAACTTTAAACACCACATTGAAGTTCTAACTAAGAAATTGAAATTCACTCTTTGCTTCCTTTACAGACTTAAACGTTGTTTTTCAACTTCTTCCCGTAAAAGGTTGGTCTCTGGCTTATTCCTGTCCCAGCTTGACTACGGTGATACAATCTATAGATTTGCCTGTCCCACTGTTTTGGCCAAACTTGACCCACTCTACCATGCTGCACTGTGATGTATCAAATGCACCCTATAGGACTCATCATTGCAAACTGTACAGCCTAACTGGATGGTCCTCACTTAGTATGCGTAGGATGCAGCATTGGTTTTTATTCATGTATTTAGCCATTTTAGGTAAGCTTCCACTGTACACATGTGCCAGATTTGCCCCAGTTTGTGACTCTTACAACCTCAGAACCAGTACCTGGATACGGTTCCAGGTACCTGCCGTGCGGACTAAGGCTGGAAAAAGGAGTCTTTTTTATTATGGTCCTTGGTCTTGGAATGACCTTCAATCAAGCCTCAAACTGATGGCACTTGTCCCAATAGCCTGTTTTAAATTGAAGTTGTCTGAGGTCCTTACCACCAGATGTGCATTTACTGTCCCAAATGTGCACAATGTAGTGACTGTGTTCGTCTTTTTGTTTACTTAGTTGTGTTTTCTGTATTTGATATGTCTGTGTTATGTGTAAGAACGCAAGAACGTGTAACGTTGCTGCCTTCTTGGCCAGGTCAGCATTGTAAATGAGATGTTGTCTCAATGTTTTTATCTGGTTAAATAAAGGTTAAATAAAATAAATAAATCTCCTTTGATGTTTAAATGTGCCATTCTGCATAACGAGCACTTTTACTTACTAACTTGTTTACGTTTTCCATTTTAAGTGGATCAGAGTTCATCCGTCAGGCCAGCAGGGGGCAGTGGTGGAACGTTTGTAAATTGAGCGTTAATTTCTTTTCCAATTGCTTACACACAATTTTTGAAAACAGGGCTCATTTTCTCAAAACACTTATCACAATTCACAAGCTCACACACCCAAAGTGCAAAACACCTCATACATGAAATAGAAAAATAGTATATAAAATATACACAATATAACAAATTCTGGACAATTAAAATGATTAGTTCTGTTTCAACAGAATATTTGACTTTCTGCACATATTTCTGGAGTGCAGCATTCTACATTCTACATAGCACTAAGCCCATAACAGACGAGGGTGCGTCTGATTGAGCACAACAGTGTGTAGTTGGGTGGACAACACAATCTGATAATATGAATGTAGTGTGGGCCATTTCGTTTGGTTTTGATAAGTGTTTCTGTAGTTTTGAGTGCAGTTAGTCATTCTGCAGGATATGAGGTGTTTTGTTGCTGCTGTTCACTTTTAGTTGGATTTTTCTGTTTCCAATTTCTGTCAATCGCGCATGTGTAGACGTAGCGATTAAGTGGCACACTCTTTTATAAAATATATATCTCATGCAGCAGCAGCAGCCACCACCATGGAACATTTCACCATATCACAGTAAGTAGTAAAAATAGTTTTATTTAAATATTTTACAAAAAATACAAACAGTCACTTAAGCACAAAAACACAGCATGTGAACACACACAATAAATATTCATCACACAACACAAATGTAGCTTCGTTCAACTTTAGAAAAGAAACCTAGTCAGGCCTAACATCAGGAGGTGTAACAGCTCACATCTCCAGCCTGGGCTTTATGATGAGCAGAAGCATAGGCATGTTCACACGGTATACAAAAAGACACAGCATTCATATTTAAAAACACATCAAAACTGAAGATTGAAGGTTTTGCATTAAGGACCATTAATCTGAAAAAAGCTCAAGCACACTGAATCATTTAATTAAAAATAGTGCTAAAATCTTAAACCCTAAAAAGGGGTCAAATACATTGAATCTCTTACAAAGAGAGAGCAGAAGAGAACCGTTTATTTCCCCAGATTTTTTAACTCAGGTAGCTCTGAGACCTCTTCTGACGGAAACTCAGATGACTCATATTCTTTTAGATATTTATATTCAATAAGGCTTCTGATTTATTGGACTTTTCTTGCATAGGTGCCTGAATCATAAACAAACCACATTGTTAATAAAGTCCCCTTTTGTTCAAAGACACAGTAGACCAAAGTATTGTGTTTGTATTGCTGTGACACCAAGGCAGCCCTCACACATAGAGCTGAGAAAGCAACCAACGTTACCACTGCACATGAAAGACAAATAAAAAAATGAAAGAAATAAATCATAAAACATACGCTGTGTGTACTTTCATTATTACAAACACTGAAGCAAGAAGTCAATCAAACACATTTAAATCAGTTTGGTATTGCATCTTCCTCTGCTAATGGGAAACAGAACAAATACACACTTTGGTTTGGCAGCTAGATTTCTTTTTATAAGTTTAACCTCTCTTGTTGCAATAGCCCTCGTTCAGTGTATAGCCATACATGCTGCTTGTGCTTCACAGCTAAATATCAAGTAAATCTCAACAGCAATTAAAATACTATAAAAGCGAAAGCTGAATTAAAATCAAAATACCTTTCACTTTAAGCCACAGGTATAATAACTGAGCTATCAGCTGTTTAATGTATTCAGTATTATTCACGGACACTCCCAAAGTAGTCATCTCCCTCAAATCACAGCCTGCAGAGCCAGCACAGCCTTTCACCTTTCACACTTTTTGATTTGGCTTTGCTGCAGAGGTGCTTTACGGTGCCTTATTGCAATTGCCCATGCCTTTTACCACATTGGACTTGATATTATTTCAATATTTTACTTTTTTATTTACTATAAAATATATCTGATTACCACAGTTTTCATAACTGATCAAGTCAAATGAGGGCAGCTCGAAGGCAAGATGAACATGTGTTATATTGTCAGTGTGCCGCTGGAAGAAAAGGCTGAAACGTGGTCCATGCTTCACTTCAGAACCGTTATCAAGCAATACTGCTGGCAGCATCTGTGAATATGATACATATCATCCAGCTAATCTGCTTTATGTATTCTGCACCATGTTATCAAATACTGTAACTCATCACTTTCCCCACAGATCCATCTGATCATATGTAAGAGTATTAGGCAAAGCTAAGACCCATATTTAAATATCCATATCTGATATAATGAGAAACAACTTTCAAATGTATCCACAGAGATGAGAACCATACCAAAATGTTAACAGCAAGCTTAGCAAGATAAAATTCAATCTGAAAAGATCGTTTTTTAAGGAGGATGTCCACCTCATCGTCTATCAGCGCCCCCCCCCCTGGATTTACATGCATCCTTGCTACATGACATGTGCAATTCAATTCACAGACCAGACCATGTATTTGTTTGAACTGCACACCTTAACCTCGCTCATCACCGCAACCACCAGAACAGAGGCCGTGTCACGGCCACAACGCTGTGTCGTTAAAGTCACTCACTATACATAAAGGCGTTTCAGTGTTTGTCAGACCCCCCCCCCCTCACTCCACAGGGTCGCTGCTGCTGCTGCTGGCCTTGACCCCCGCCCTGCTGATGTGCAGCCAGGGCAGCTTGGCACAGTTCTTAAAGAGCTGCTCGATGGCGATGTGACGCACATGCAGCTCTGACGCCAACGAGTCTTTCTCCTGCACGGCCTCCGTCAGCTCCTCAAACACCTCTGTGGGAAGGGAGAGGCTCAAATCATCATTTATTCACAAGATCTTTTTTATACAATCAATCAAGACATAATGGAGACATGTGAAATCCCAATAAGCTATAGGAAGTTTGAGAACAGGAGCCCAGACAATAAAACATAACGTTTTATATTATATATCATGAATAAATATAGAATTGAGAGAGTTCATTATTCAGAAACATTACAAGCCAAAAACCCTTTCAACTAAACTACTTTAACCCTAACTAATTCATGGTCTAAAGTATTGAATTCATCAGTCCAACTATATATTAAAAATAAGTAAGATGATTAACAAAGACACGTTTTGATGGGAAATGTATGGTGCATATAAATGCATTTCAGAGGTGTAGAAGTCTACAGCCATTGTTGCTTTAAGTGCTTTTAAAAGACAGAAAAAGATAAAGACTTATTGAAAGGGTTATCTCATTCCACACTTCCTCTGCAGACCAAAGTGAAGCTGGGACATTTCACTTTCAGCTTTATTCCATTTATCAAATGTTTGCGAGGATAAATGAATTGGGATAAGCTCACACAGTCTGTTGTTTAGCATATTTACTATGGTAAACAATAAACAGGCATGTGAACACACACACACACACACACACACACACACACACACACACACACACACACACACACACACACACACACACACCACACACACCACACACACACACACACACACACACACACACCCACACACACACACACACACACACACACACACACACACACACACACACACACACACACACACACACACACACACACACACACACACACACACACACACACACACACACACACACACACACACACACACACACACACACACACACACAGAACTGGGGCTGTGAAACAGAGGGTCAGTGTTCATGGACCAAGATATGGAGCATATGACTTTCTTTTGTAACACATTCAGTTCATTCAGGTAACTAGGGAAGGTATTGCACCATGTGACATTGCAGACAAATCAGACAAAGTCAACTTATACTCCAAACAAGTGAGATAAAGAAGATAATATTGAATACTGAAGGAGCAGAGAGCAAAGACAACGGGATAGACAATGTTTCGACTTCAGATAAATAACCACAACACAAAAACACATCCAATTAATAACTTCAGTATAGGGTGTTATGCAGCGGAGGAACACCAGTACAAACACGTTTATGGACATGAAAACTCACAGTGGATTATACAAATCATGGTCAATCGTTTCTGAGAACAGTCATTCAAATCTGTGGAACTGGACTTCCCTTCCTCAGAGTGGCTCCTTCAATCACTTTCAGCTAAAGATTGAAGATAGAAATACCAAATGATAATGAGGGTGTTAACTAAAAAAGGACTGAGCCAAAACTCTCCAAACGATGTGCTATGGAGTGTTGCAGGGATGCCGACCCGGAAGTTCACCTCGTAAGGGCTAAAGGCAAATGGGATTTTCCATTGGATTGTGGTGTATTACAGAGACAATCTCTGTGGCAAACGTATATGATAGTAACATGTTTAGTTCAGGGGATCATCTCCACATATGAACACCACTTCATGATTTCTGAAGCGTTCATTGGTCAAAAGCGACTGTAATACTATATACTTGAAAAACCACATGGTCGCAAAACTTCACACGACAGACCTTATTTTGGGGATCTAACCAGAAAAAAAGGAAAAAAATACACAGACGGAAGATCTGGAACTGGATGAGGTCAAATGCTAACGCATTTCTGAGTTTTAAGACTCATTCCTGCGTGACTATATTAGGTTCATTTAATCGGTCATAACAGAAGCCTTGAAATGTTTTTATAAAAGTTTAATGATGGTTGGGGTGTCAATTAAAAAGGTAGTGTGCAACAACTCTCACAATTGTGTTCTATGATGACCCACCTACATCTGCATTCTGCAGGGTCTAGTCATTTACACCGGGATAACATGATTCAAACTTAGAAGAAGTGCGTAGCTTAGCTTGTACTGATTGTGCCAACACTACGTCTAACTGACTGAGGTTTGAGTAATCTGTCACTTCAAAAGAGTGTTTAGCTGAGGAGGGCATTTGAGCATTACACATTAAAGACATCAAAATGTTCAGTTTAAAGTATTGATTATGCAAAAGGTTGAACTTGATGTCAAAGGTTGGGATCAATAAGCGGAATAGAACAAGTTAACACAGAAGGTCAGTTAACAACACTTACTTTGAATCTGCATCAGCAGCTGGCTGTTCAGCTGATGGAGTTGGTCCACACTCATGTTAGTCACTGAAAGAAAAAGGGTTTGCATTAGAGAGGGAGAGGCACAGAATGTCACAGCATGTGACTGAGCTCTGACTCAGACCCTGAACCGGCTGTTCTTCAGCAGATACATTTATTAAATAGTTTAAATGTCAATATATTAGTCTGCATTTAAACACAGTATAGGTGATCGTGAGGGCAGGAGGAGACTGAACAGACAGGTGGCCTCCTTCCCCTTTTCCTTAGTTTTATCTCCATTTCTGTAACTACAAATAAAATGTGTTGCTGTTTACGCAAATAGGAAAGTCTGGAATAACTAAATAGCATCATTTTGAACAATCTACAGGCATTTATGAAACACTCACAAGTGAAATTGACACTTCAGAGACACAAACTACATTGGAACAAATGGGTGTGGGGGAAAAAACCTGCAACATATTGAATCAAGCTGAAAATAAAAGATGTTGGGGTCATAAACTGGGTGATGTGCCATAGTATACGTGCTATATGCTCTCTTTTTAAAACTGTATACAGGAATACTGTAGCAATATCACAAGGGATTTGTTACTTCTTTTGAGGTTCTGCAGCACTGAGCTGTTTATGGCTGGAACATAGTGCCATAAGTGCAACTCGTACATTTAACCAGCTATTAACACATCTACAGAAAAACTGTAGTGTTCACACCCCAAAATAAATGTGTTTTAAGGTATCCAGTCCGGATGTTGAAGTGCCATCTGTGTGTTAGTGTGTGAACGAGCAATAGAATACATGATGAGCAGTTTTTCACATTGCATTCCAGCCCTGCCATCACTGTGTTAATGGGTCAATGTTGGTGTGGAGTGTGTCCTTATGCAAACAGTGAGAAGCCCCTGTCATCTTTCATTTACGGGCACAGAATTGTAATCAGGGACCTATAGAAGGCTCCCTCACATTCCTGCAGTCTGTAGTCATAAGCAGCTTTTGCAGTGACGAGACACGAGACAGCCAAGGACACACCGCTTCAAGGTTAGAGGGAAATAACGTTTCTATGGGGAGATGAAGGATGGACCAAGTGAGAGTGTCTTTTCTGTTGCCGTGTTACTGTTTTGTCAGCTGCCCTTGAACTAACAAGTGCTTGGAAGTTTTGGAAATTGAAGAGATGACACTTGCTGAAGTTAAAACACAGAGGCAGCAATGCATTTCTGTTGACATTTCAAAGAAACATAATCAAACCTTCCCCTGCTGCTACAATCTCAAACTTAGAAAGGTAAAGTTAGTGGAGTGAAATGAGCTCACATTCATCTGTGCTGTGGCCCTGGTGCCTGCGCTGTGCCTGTCCTCCTCCTGATAACTGGTTCCGGCTGTGTAGACCTTTCCTGCCGTCACTGGACCAGACGTCAGAGTGAGCCTCCTGCAGCAGCCCCAGCTTCTCCACTGTGTGGCGCTCCAACACCCCCATGGTGTAGTCCGGCCTGTCTGTAGCCCTGCCTGTGTCCCAGCAGGGCGTGTAGCGCGGCACCTGGGCGTCCGACTGGGGCAACAGCTTGCGGTCGCTCTGCTGGCTGTAACAGAGGAGCTTGGACCCTCGTCTGCCCGGCCCGTTAGAGGAGACAGAGTCTTTGTTCTGGGCATACTGGATGATGCGGTTCAGTTTCTGGCTGAAGGCCAGCTTCATGCCCTCGTAAGCACTTTTGGAGACCTTGGAACGTGACAGCTTCTGGTTGGCGATGAGGTGGCATTTCTCAAAGCAGTCTCTGTGGCCGCGCAGGGACTTCGAGTGCAACAAGATAGCAGAGGAGACACCTGCATTCAAACAGACATAAAGCAATGAGTCAGTAGGTACAAAACTACTAATGTCTTCACCCAAAAACACATAAACCACAAAAAAACTGTCAAAAAACAGGGCTCCTTCAACATAAAAAAAAAAAGTTTAAATAGTTGAATATAGATAAAGCAGTTGGTGACTGACCTATTGAATTTCGACACAGCACATAGAAGTAAACCAGTATGATAGTATGCTAAAAGTGGCAGACTCTTCTCTCAGTGAAAGCTGCTTAGTGTGCAGTGGATTAGCCACGAGAGCGTTGAGATAGCAGGGATCATAGAGTCCAGGCTCAGTGCAGACACAAAGAGCACATTGAGATCTACTGGGAAACAGAAGGGAGGAAGGTGTCTTTCCCAATGTATTACAAATATTTAAATGTATTATTATTTTATAATTGTCCGTTTTTTTTATCAACTGTACTTCCTGTATTTACGTTATTAAAAACCAAGATGCAAATATAGTTTTCAATATAAATCGAGAAAGTATTTGGAATAAAATGTGAGAAAATAGAATGTTTCCAGTTTCTTAAAGTCCAAGGCGATGCGTTTGAATGTAAAAAAGACAGCAAAGACATTCACTGTACACTATATAACAGAGAAAAGCATACAAGCATACTTGAAGGACAAATGAATTATTAAAATAGTTGCCCATTTTTTTTCTGTTGATCCACATAATCGATTAGTATCCGTATATGAGACACTTTTAACAGAAGATCAGCTTTGTGCAAGAAACAAAACAATGGAATAGGAAGAAGAGAAAAAACAACTTCGGCTCGGGGGCTGATATTCTATAATTAAACTACATTCTTTGGAAGTTCCTCTGGGAAAAAGGTAATGCTTCCTGGATCCAGTCAAAACAGCGCACACAATTTTAGCACGCAAAGAACACATTAGCACAAAGCAAGGGGACCAAAGTTTAAATAACGTCTCAGTAAGGTTGGCCAGGTCGAAATAAACAAAGGGAAATCTGAAAGTGTGTGTGTGTGTGTGTGTGTGTGTGTGGGGGGGGAAAGCACAAGGGGCTAAAGTGAGCGAGTGCTCCACATGCGTCTGAGTGTTGGCCTTCCTTTCACAGCCCGCATTTCTCGGCAGACAGACGTCGTGTTGGAGCCTGAGGTGAGGAGATAAGTCACTGTCGTCCATAGAGATTCTAGAGCTCCCTCGGATAGGTTCAGCTTACAGGCTTCTCTCAGCAACTCACCAGCACACACATGATACAGATGCACAGGAAACCACAGGAAATTGCAATACCACCTCAGGACAACAGTGCAATTGGTACAAACATACACACGCGGCCCTTGTATTTTAATGTAACACACAAACCTATAAAGGCTTGTGCCAATTGGTGATCGGATCGTGTACTTATTGCCACTTCGTCCCACAACGGACTCATACTGTTCTGTACAGATGAGGCTGTCATAGATTTATTTATGTGTGCCTGTGATTATTTTACTGTTCTGTACAGATGAGACTTTGTAATCGTATGTATATATATATATATATATATATATATATATATATATATATATATATATATATATATATGGGTGTGTGTGTGTGTGTGTGTGTGTGTGTGTGTGTGAGAGACTCCTGTCCAATCTCCCAAACTGCGGCGTTTATCCAGCAGCCAGAACATCCATCTGTGCCTGCCCCCAGGTCAAGATCTACTGTGGCTCAAGGGCCTTCACCAGAGCCATCACCACAAAGGACCAGAGGACCAGCATCACTACAGCTGCCTCCACCTCCATCTGCGGCTGCCACCAGGTCAAGATACACCTCAGCACAAAGGCTCCACCACAGCCATCACCATCAACCCAGCCAGCAAGGAGGTCTCGTGGAGGTCTCGTATAGCACTTGTACCCCCCACCTACACAGCAGCCCATGCACCATCACCCCCACCTACACAGCAGCCAGACCCACTGTCTTGGAAGACAGACAAAGACCGTGACACTGTCTTGACATTTATAATGAATAGTTGGTTGAAAGTTGTGATGTTCAATATTGTAAATAGTGAGATTTTCCAGTTTCTTATATTTATATAAATAGTTGACGAAAAAAACATTTATAATAAATTGTTGGTTGAAAAAAAAGGTTTGAATGCTCAATTTGTATTTGTACACATCACATGAACCTTGGTATGTCATATGAAGTCATATGAAGTCATTATTCAGTCCTGATGTATCTCAGTCCCTGCTGTGGGGAAAGTAGAGTGATAAACACCTATTTTACTCAAAATTCAAATTTAATGTTTTTCATTTTAGACATGAATTACACATTTATATACAGTGTAATTCAAATATTTCACTACTTTTGTGACCCTAAGACTTTGGTAACCAAATCTAAAACACCAAAACAATTGGATGAAATTAGTAAATTTGTGTTTTCACAAGAGTTTTGAAGATTTTCCGAAAATCCAATGTTAAGCTTTAGAGCTACTTATCTCATCACACAGTGCTCTAAGGTGAGTAATTTGCATTTATAGCAAGACCAGAGATTGTCCTGAACATTCTGATATGTAACACATGAGGTGCCATGTTATAAAAAGTACATTTAAAAGGTGATTTAAGGAAACATCTAAAAATCGAGAAAATACCCTTAGACTCCAGAGGGTTAAGCACCATTTATTTGTAGGGAAATTGTCTGGTCTTGTTTCTGTCAAGTGCAATCTCTTTACATGTCTTTTGAAGGATTGGTGTATGCCTGCAGGATTATTACAAAATAAAACACCTTATGTAGGACAGCCATTTTATATGATATATATATATATATACCACAGAACATAGGAAGCTCTTACACCATTTCCCAACTCAGTACGCAGAAGACTACTGTAAGCTTCTGCAGATCTGTGTGCTCTGACCTGAGTCTTCACAGTAGATTAGTTTTGTGAAGGGAGTGGAGTATACAGTATATGTACAGTATGTGAGCCGTGTGTGACAATATTGCCTCCTGAATGGCCAATGAATCTCTAGATGCGTTACTAATAGCTGCAGGATCGTTCTGCCTATCAAACAGCCATGTTATAATCGGATCCGGATCAGTCTGTGGACTACAACAAAAACACACTGACGACCACTTGCCTAGCAGAAGATTCATTGGCCCACAACCAGGCCAGTGCACCACCAGCCAAAGACCTCACTGCAGCTAAGCAGCTTAGCACTACTGTCTTTCATGGCTGCACACACACGAGCTCAGGCACACACAGACTATTCACTGGAGGTGAATCCACATTGTTCAGCTGTGACAGCGAGAGACATTAAGCATGACAACACTGACAATCAATAGGTCTGTTTTTCCTGCTCCTTTGTAAGGAATGAGTCAAGGTTAGTCCGTCACTCAGGGAATCAACTGACAAAGACAAAGCTCAAACGCGTGCTTAGATCTGATGTCAAATATCAACATATGGTTTTTTAAATAGTTTACTCTCTAGTTCAAGAAAGCAAATATAAATCTGCATGCACTACTAGAATCAGGAGAGCATTGATCAAATCGGAAATCATTTGGTCCAGGTTATATAAAGAAATATTATTCTTGATGTTAAAATAATGTTAAAAGTCTGAGATTTAAAATGGGATGTCTTGGACAATTTTTATTTGATATCAAGTATTAAGGGTTAGATTTATGTTATAGTAAGATCAAAAACAGTCATTTGGAGGAGAAGTTTAGAAACTGGTGCAGAGGAAACAAAACTCAGAGGAAGACTGATTCCTGTTACATTAGATCATTCTCCATACTCAGCATAAAAACCCTCAGGCTGTAGAGATTATCTTTTATTTAATCTATCACTGCTTATCTTAAGATATCTCAGACTTCCACTTTGCAGACATGTGGTAGTGTGGCCATGGCCTAATCTTTGAATGTATAGAACTGACTTTGCAAACTGTTCTGTTTCATAAATGCAATCAACAGAGTCGCACGTTTTGTCCCCCAGAGCAACCTTTTGCAGATTTCACAGAAGTTTTCTTGTGATCAGTATGTATATGTGCCAAACAAGGACAGTCAATACTTAACTCATAATAATAGTTGAATAGCTTAGAGTTGGTATTGGGACAAGTGGGACAGAGGTCACCTGTGGTAAGGTGTCAAAAACAGCTGCATGGCACAGCTAGGAAGAACGCGTTGGACAGCAACGCAGAGCTCACATGATCCCCCCACAACAGACTGACTGCCGCTTCACAGTTGTGAGAAACCACACTTATCAAACTGCAACCCAATAATCACTAGTCCACCTGCTTCAGCCTCCAGACTTTTTACTGAAACCTACAAGTACTAGACCCACTGTGCACTAATTGACTTGTTTCTACCAAGGTGGAAACCAAGTTTCGTAAAAATCAGCCACAGTAACCACAGTGAATCCTCAAACACCCAGCTTTTAACAACAAAGGTGTTCATTAGATCATTTTTTTATATTTCATAAAAACCCTGCAGGGATAGAGATTTCCCACTGTCTTATTTGATGCACCAAGAAGATTATCCATATTCATAGTCAAGCATTATATTATTAAAGAACTAAGCATAATGACATCGGATAAATATAATAAATGTAATTAAAATAACTAATCCTGTGCCCCCTATAATAACATAGATAATAGCTTTCTTTTAAAATGGCTATCAGTAGGCCTGGAGTAGGCCTTGTATAAGAATTCTAGGAAGTAAAATGATGAAAAGTCTACAAATATCGGAAGTTACAATCTACTGCAAAAGCTGTGTCCGTTTGTTTTCAAGCCAGTTGAAAGAGATTTCAGTCAGATACGCATCAGACCTTAAAGACCTTAAGGTCCTCCTGCAGGCAGAACCCATGAGACATTTGGTAAAGTGATAGTGTAACAGAGACTCATGGCTATCTCTGCTGTAGCTGCTGTCTGACATTTACATTCTCAATGTACTATTACAAAGGTAGCAGAAGATAACTGTTGGAGCTGCTCGCATGTGTTTTACTTTCAGTGGTTAACAGTATGTGAAGCTTAGAGCTGCACAAACCT